TTGTAACACCATAAGATATAAACCAGAAGTGAGCCTCAGGACTGCTGCTGACCCCTGACCCATCCCATCACATGCGACCCCATCCTACAATTGCACTCATAAATTTGTCCTCTCAAAAACCTTGCCAGAATTTAAGTCCCCCTGATGCTTTAAAACTGTCTTCCAATTTCCACCCTGAATTTGTTTGTGGCCATTTTAAACCTATTGGTTTTGTGACAATGCTGTCCCTTTACTTAAATAGCTCTTCATCCTCTGATTCTTACCCCCTGATAAATTTATAGAGCGCAATCAAATAATCATATCCCCTCTTTTTTTTTTATTGGCTAAACTAAACAAGCCAAGCATTTATCTTGGTAAAACAGGCCCTCCATTCACCTGATTATCCTAATAGCTCTTCTCTGCAGCTGTTCCAGTTTAAATTCATCTGTCTTGAACATGGGTGACCAAAACTGTACACAGTATTCCAGATGAGGTCTTACGAGTACCTTGTACAATGGCATTAATACTTCCCAGTGTCTTCTGGAAATGCCTCTCCTGATAAACCCTAGGATTGCATTTGCCTTTTTCACAGTCAAATCACATTGCTGGCTCAGTCATCCTGTAATCAACCTACACACTCAGGTCTCTCTCCTCCTCTATCACTTCTAACGGATGAACCCCCAGCTTTTGGCAGAAATTCTTATTAGACCCAAATTCATGACCTTGCACGTAGTATTATTGAATTCCATCCCAGTTCAGTCACTGCACTATTCAAGGTCATCCAGATCTTCCTGTATAATGTTCCAATCCTCCTCTCTGTTGACAATGCCTCCCAACTTCATAGCAGCAGCGCATTTCATTAATACACACTTACTTTTTGTGCTAAGGTCATTAATTGAATAAGATAATCCCAAAACCAATCCTTAAAGTAATTCACTAGTAACCTCCCTCCAGTCCATTAAGTCACCTTTCAGCACAACCCACTGCCTTCTCCCCTTTAGCCAGTTCTGCATCCATCTTACTATTCTTGTACTGATCCCCAGCATCACTAAATTTACTAATGATTTCCCATATGGTACCATGTAAAATGCTTTAGTTGAAGTCCCAGTATATTAGATCTACACTTCCTTCTTGGAGAAAATAACTGATTTCTTAGATAAGGGAAGTCAGGTTAGTCTGGCATGATCTACCTGTGGTAAACTCATGTTGCATTACATCCCCTTTGTACTTTGCCTCCATGACTGTAATTATTCTTCACAATTTGTTCTAAAGTCTTGCACGCTACTGAGGTCAGACAGAAAGGTCTGTAATTGCCAGGATCACTTTTTCCCCCAACCTTTCTTAAATATTAATACAGCATTAGCTGTTCTGCAGTAATATGGTTCATCTCTCCCCCCTCCCAGTCCCCCCACCCCCACAAATTGACTTGTAGAAATGTAGGGCTGGAAGGGACCTCAAGAGGTCATCAAATCCAGCCCCCTGCACTTAAGCACGACCCAGTAAACCTAGACCATCCCTGACAGGTGTTTATCCAACCTGTTCTTAAAAATCTCCAGTGATGGATTTCACAACCTCCCTTGGAAGCCTATTCCAGAACTTAGATATATTAAGAACATAAGAACAGCCGTACTGGGTCAGACCAAAGGTCCATCCAGCCCAGTATCCTGTCTACCGACAGTGGCCAATCTCAGGTGCCCCAGAGGGAGTGAACCTAACAGGTAATGATCAAGTGATCTCTCTCTTGCCATCCATCTCCATCCTCTGAGAAACAGAGGCTAGGGACACCCATTCTGGCTAATAGCCATTAATGGACTTAACTTCCATGAATTTATCTAGTTCTCTTTTAAACCCTGTTATAGGCCTAGCCTTCACAACCTCCTCAGGCAAGGAGTTTCACAAGTTGACTGTGTGCTGTGTGAAGAAGAACTTCATTTTATTTGTTTTAAAGCTGCTGCCCATTAATTTCATTTGGTGGCCCCTAGTTCTTATACTATGGGAACAAGTAAATAACTTCCTTATTCACTTTCCGCACACCACTCCTGATTTTATATACCTCTATCATATCCCCCCTTAGTCTTCTCTTTTCCAAGCTGAAAAGTCTCAGTCTTATTAATCTCTCCTCATATGGGACCCGTTCCAAACCCCTAATCATTTTAGTTGCCCTTTTCGGAAATCCTTAAAAATCCTTGCTACCAGACTAGTGATCTCGGGCCAGTTTTTTTAAGTATTCTGGGATGGAAATTATCCAGCCCCTCCCACTTTGAGTACATTAAGCTCATTTCCATCAGCCATACTACCTTCAAGCACATGTTCCAGATTATCATTTTTACTGAAAACCACGGCAGTGTATTCATTTAGTTTTTGGGCCATGCCTAAATCAGCTTTAAGCTCCTTCCCATTCATACTGCATTGCAGCCCAACCATATCCTTCCTTATTCTCTTTTTACATACAACTTCCCGCAGCTCCCATTGGCTGGGAGCTGTGCCTGCGGATGGTCAATGTCAGCAAAATGTCTCTCGGCCTGCAATCAGATTACTCTGATGGCCACATGCGGGCCGCAGGTTGCCCACCACTGCTATAAACGAAGCCATCCAACTACATTACTGATTTTGGGTGCCCAGCTTGACACACCTGGCCCTGACATTGATTTCAGTTGGTTCATGTAAGTGCTCAGCAATGCTGAAAATCAGGCCCAAGATTGAAACCCAAGTCAAAACCTTTTACCTTAGTAGATTCAGGTGTACTTTGGTTAATATTGCCTTAAATGTTAATTGGAAAAGTTTGACTCCACATCAGTCATTTTAACTATTCCCCATCCTTTTGCACTAAAGGAGTCTCAAGCTGCTTTATAAACATTAATGAACTTAACCTCCTTATGAAGTAGGGGAATATTCAAGTTCATTAAGAGAAGTTTTGTTTGGATACAGCCTGGGGTAATTAACATTCTGTTTAGGTTTTTGTCATGACCTAACAGCCTGAATTTCAGATGTCCAAACAATCAGCCTTTAATTAACCAAATATTGCCAGATTTCAAGCTGAATTTTGTAGCCAACATTAATCTCAGCTCTAATATTTATTTGCATTTTTTATAGCTGACAAAATCTGAAGTAGAGAGAGATTAGATGATTTGACTAAGGTCACAAAGTGTAGCAGTATCAGGACGAGAACTCCAGTCTCTCAACAACAAGTCTTTGCCCTGATCCAAAACCCATTAAATGAATGGGAATCTTTTCATTGATACCAATGGACTTTTGCCCTTTGTGCCTTAAGAGCAATAGCTTGCTTCTTACCTTGTTAATGCCCCACTACAATTCCTGAGACAAGACTTTTTTTACTCTGGGACTCAATATCTGTTTATTTAAGAGAAAACAGATAAAAGTTTCTTTTTTGGCATAGAACTATTTATGACTACATGAATGGGACTTTCCTGCTGTAGATGAATACAGTAAATTAAACAGTCTATTCTGGGTTTTCAGAGCCTCAATCTGTTGTGTGCAAAGCTGTGCCGCTAATGAAATGGCAATACAAATCATGAAACAGTTGCAGATGCAACTATGGGGTGTGAAGTTTAGCCAAATGTTTGAAAATAAGGCTGGGAAATACTGCAAAGGAGCAGAAAGAGCCCACAAAACTGTTTTGCTCAAATTTACCTCTTTTAAAGAGCATGCACCTACATCTGACCCAGTTTACACAACAGATGAGAAGTGAGCCTGTCATTCCACCAGAGGAAATAGTAGTAGAATGCTGCCTTAAATTATTTTACGACATCTATGTGCTTATCGCCAAGCGTTCTTCTTACCTGTTAAAGTTCCAAACTCCACACTGCTGTATCTGTAAAATGAAGCCTTGTGCAATCAAAAAAGGAATATAGTCAGTGAAAAGTAGGGGAGTGACCTTTGGCTTGTTAAAGTTGTTAAGCTTCATTCAGCAGCCTAAAAAAAAATTCCTATGTGTGGCCTATACTAGTATCACTAAATACTTTGTTAAGAAAGCTGTTCATCTCACTGGAATTCTACAAGGATCAATAAGAATTATCCAGCTTTCTGTCCTTTTAAACATGGTTCTCAAAGCTTTTAGAGTACATGTTCTCTTCTTGCATCTGAAGAAGTGAGGTTCTTACCCACGAAAGCTTATACTCCCAATACTTCTGTTAGTCTCAAAGGTGCCACAGGACCCTCTGTTGCTTTTTACAGATTCAGACTAACACGGCTACCCCTCTGATACATGTTCTCTTTTGGAGCTTCAGAGGCCCTAGGATACATCCAGGGAGTTGGGTCACTTAGAGGGGATGGAAGGCATAACAATTTTCACCTCTGTCTAGGTTTAAATCAGGCCTGGATTAGCAATTAAACAAAATTGCCATAGGATGACTATTTGTCGGTATGAAGGTGCAATCATCTCAGGAATAAGAATAGGAAAACATAACAGGAGTTAAGAATTACCTACAAGCTAGAAACAAGGGCACTATAGGAAGCAGCTGTCAGCTTGTCAGCAAATGGAGCTGCAGCTGTGACTCAGTGCCAGATTAAATGGTCCAACCCCCAGAAAGGCATGCTGGGGGAAAAATCCTATATGAGAATAACTCTGCTCTTAAGAGTCAATAGAGATCACATAATCACTAAGAATGTGACTGTTATTTCTGTGTTGTGTGGTTTATGCCTACAGCATTTTGGCCTATATAAAATAAGTTGTGGTTAGTCTGCTTTTTTAGTGGAGAAACATCTTTCTGGTAAGCAGCTTATGCAGACAGCCCGAGGGAAGAGAAACTAAAACCAGGCTCTCATTTCTTCAAATAGTTCCTCCTGCACACAACTGGGGCATACTCGGAGGTCACTGTGTGAGAGGCTTGCCCTGCTATTTACCAAGCTTCAACTATAGTGTTGTTTAAAAGTATTTGGAGTCCTCTATGGTAAACTGGGTACTCTGCTGAATGTTGAGTGTTCTTTTTTTAAGAAGCCTTTTAATAAAAGGTATCTATATACAAATTTTAAAAAATGCACACACACCACAGCCTTATTCATTGAAAGTCACTTTACTGATGTTACAATATGTCAGTAACATTGAAAACCACAGGCATTTGTATTAAATACTCTCATAGAAGTGGTTATTACGATGTTAATAAAACTGTGCAAGAATTTAGAACCCCAAATTACAATGAGATTATTTTATAAAAGCAACATTTTGTTTAGCTATAGGAAAGCCAGTTTCACTCACTTGAATGGCCCAATGCCTATAATGTTTGTCAAAAATATCACACTCAAAGCTGCAATGATAGAATGTGCAGCATTTCTTGTTGGTGTTTGTCAAAACCTGATGTTTCTGTAATGTAGTGTAAGAATTAGGAGGGTTTCAGGTAGCAAAGACAATGATTTGCAAAATGATTGTTTGTCAGCTTTAGCCAGTCCCCAATAATGAAACCAAGTACTTGTCCACTCTGAATGTTTTACTTGCAGAGGATAGCTTCAGAAATTAATAGATCTTTTTTATAGCAACACATGATAAAAATACTAACACAAAACAAAGCTGGCAGACTCAACTACTATGTACAATGCCAAAAGTTTTTCTGAAAGTGGTCATAGTGTAAATAGTATTTTCTCCTGCAGATTATACAGTGCGGAATTTGCTCTTTTGGAAAAATAACATTTTGCAGCTATGCACTGATCGTAATAAAAAATGAAAAGTACAATATTCTGTATAAAACACTAAGTACTGAAATATTTTTTACCCATAAGGAAAAAAACAGGTCATATACTCATAGTCTGAACCTACACTCGATTATTCCCTAGCATAAAATGCAAAGGCAGTGAGCAGGAATCCTTCTACTATTACAATATGATATATTAGCACTTACTGTATTACAGCCTTACAGTATCGTATGTTTATCTGTTAGCACCACTATACTTGAAGGTCAGTCGGGCAAATTTACAGGAGTTTCTAACCTGCTTGTAAAAAAAATATTCGGCATGCTAAAGCTTGAATACATAAGGTCTTAAGGCCTTGTGTACGTTTTTAAAAAGAAAACATTTTTAAGTCATAGTAATGCAGAGAAACAGAAATAAAGTGGTGTATTGGTTTTGAACGCCTGTAATTAAAACCAGCATTAAAAATGTTACCAACTGAATTGATACCCCACTCTGACTCCTGAGTCACTCAGCCCTCCCTCCCCATAGAGTGCTTTTTAATTGTCTAGTTCTTTGTATTTCCCCTAATCCTCATTTCTCTCTGAATCCTGTGGCAATTCAGGTCTGTCTATACTGCAAACATTTTCCGACTGGTTTAAAGCTGGTTCAGCTAAAGTGACTTTAAAACTGATGGAAGCTGTGATTTAGACCTGGTTTCAGAGGGCTAAAGAAGCCAGACTGGCTTAGCTGAATTGGTTTTAAAACCAGGTATAAAGTTTGCCCAGTGTAAGACAGACCTTTAAAACCCCAACACAGTACAGCATTACTATATCCTGACATGGTTTCCAGCACTTGTTCCTGTTACCTGGTTTAAGCAATACAGTTGTGGACTTTTCCCAAATAGTTGTTGAAAATTGTTCTGGAGGCTCAGACTCTATCCCCTGAGCCAAGAAATACTTTTTAAAAGTTATGTGCTATCCACACAGGCTGACACTAGCAGCCACACATGAGTCTGGCCAGCAATCCCATATTGCCCAATAGAGGGGATAATGCATGGAAGCTATGCACACAGTGGGGCATCAGCAGCACGTGAGACAATGCACTCTAGGACGTTCTATGGCACACACGGCTGGAGGAGCCAAACCTGTAAGGAGGTGTTGGTTAAAATGTCCTGCAGTTTTTACAATTTAGATGCAGGAATGTCTGTCCACAAACTACACTCAGCCAACCAAGCAACAAACTGGTTACATATTTGGTTAGAAATTGTAGTGTATAAGGTCCTACACCAGCAAATGTGGCTATTTCTGGCTCTGATGTTGAAAACGGTTGTTGCACTGGTGTAGATAGGCTCAGATGAGTTAATTTAACACCAGTGGAGATAGGAGGGGAAGGAAAAGGCTTGATATCTGTTGTCAAAGTTCTTTCTTTTTTTAATTGTAGCCATGCTCTAAAGGCCCATTATTTTATGATTAACCAAGACAGTAAATTGTATTGTATACATGGGGCCTATGTACATCAGCTTAGCAGGTTCAAAGTCTCAGACACCAAGGAGAAAACTGTTAGTCATTTAGAAGTATCTGTCTTAAAGAAACATGTCCAGAAAAATCTCATAAGACTTAAGGTTAAATTCACAACATATTTATACACAGACACACTGTATAATTAAAGAATTGAATCTTTTTTAACTAGATGTGCTTATTTGTTTGCATATAATACATTTATGTGCAAATTAGCAATCAGACGTTTCTGATACTTTGTGTGAATTTGTTCATCAGAAACGGTAGCATGGATTCCTTATGATGTTACCTCCTTGCTGATAGCTTCATTCTCAGCAAATCCAGCATCAGCAGGTGAGCTTCAGTTCTAAGAGCTGTGGCATGAAGAATTTAATACACAAAAGAGCAAAATCATCGTGCAAAGTTACTATTTGAATGCAGTACCTGCTTTTCAATCCTCAACATTTGGTCATATTAATCTTATTTTAAATACACAACATTCTTAGCCCACAGTATGAAACCGAGATCATTGCTTTTAAATATAGCTCACTTTACTAGTAACCAAAAATCCTTATTATCAGACACCTATTTGTGGTATGTTTGAAATAACTTAGGCTCAGATCCCTCAAGGTATTTAGGCACCTAACTTCCTTTGATTTCAATGGAAGTTAGGAGCCTAAATCCCTTTGAGGAGCTGGGCCTTAGTGACCTCTCAGCACTCTTAGTCAGCAGGTATGTGCATCACAGCTGGCACTAATTGGCACCCATATTGGAAGACTCAGCAAACAAGCCAATTAACTGAATGGGCCATGACAACTGTGTATCTTCTCTACTCTGTAGTTGCTCCAGCTTGAGCAGGGTGAAGTTTTGCCTGACAACCTATGCCACCACTGTCTGTGCTGCAATTTACATGATTAGTGAGGTCTGCAATCTCCAGGGTTATCCAGCTAGCTCCTTTCAGAGGCATTAAACTAAACTAGTGGCAAATTATGTAATATAAAAACCAAACAACTGTTCTGGGTTTAACCTGGTCAGTCTTCATTGGCTTTTGAGGTTCATACACCCTACAAGTTCCAGTTTTTGTGCAATTACTTAATTCACTGTTTAGGTCACTAACTTAGTGCAGCATTTTCCTCCAGAATGCATTTGAAAAAAGGTGAAATTTACATTAAGTGCCAGGTGTTTTCACTCTCTAGAATACCAAAGAGAAAGCCAATATTTATTTAATTTAAATTTAGTGCTTACATCTAGATTACCAATCACTGCATATGTTAATCATGTCCATTAAATTACCCTACACACAAATCGCGGTATTATCAAATCCTACGAATGAGTGACACCAGAAAGAGAAAAAGGCCACAAGTACAGAATACAACATAGATAATACAGTTAGGAGACCTATTCATTTTCAAAACAAGATACTATGAATGTTTTATAATCTGCCACTATGTTACATTCAGTTTCGGCCGCCAAATCTTGCTGTGTCTTAATGGGAAAATGGAAAGGGAGGAATGAATGAATGAATATATAGAAAAATATAAACAAGATTATTCAAAATTACACACTAGTTTGTATTCAAACTAAATATCAGAAAAGGCACATGATAAACATTTCAGTTACTAGGGTCAAAAAATTAATGCGTGGAGAAGTTATCTTCCTTGTGGTGGAACAATGAGTTGGACATTTTTACATAAGAATTTCCTTATTTGGGAGAAATTTAAGGGCCTGATTCAAAGCCCCTTGACGGCAACAGGACTCCCACTGACTTCAGTGGGCTATGGATCAGACTCTTCTTCCATAAGATGTACATTGTTAACAGTTCTCTGTCCTGTTGTCTTTGGCCTATGTTCAAACTAAACCTTTGCAAAATTAGAGAGACAAGGTGGGTGCGGTAATATCTTTTACTAGACTAACTTCTGTTGGTGAGAGAGACAAGCTTTTGAGCTACAGAGAGCACTTCTTCAGGTCAGTTCCAAAACTAATCAATTACATACTTCTGTACCGACAAATCTATAATCTGCATTAAAGTGCAAAATCTTTGCCCAAAGCCATTGTAGATGCCAATGCTTTTCAAATGTACCCACGCTCTCTGTTCTCATTCATATTTGTCATAATTCACAACGCTTACCAAAATCTCTTACCATGAAGAGGATAAGTTCCTCTGGTAGGCCAGTGTTGTGTAGATGTAAACCTACACACTGTCTTATAAATAAAATATAATACTTCTAAACTCTTACATACTTAACAGTTGCTGACATCTTTAAAAATGTCTTAATTTAAAACTAACCTAAATTTGACTAAGTATCAGAGGGGTAGCCATGTTAGTCTGTATCCACAAAAACAGTGAGGAGTCCGGTGGCACCTTAAAGACTAACAGTTTTATTTGGGCATAAGCTTTCCTGGTTAAAAAACACACTTCAAGTGGTTTTTTCGTGGGTTTTTTATCCATGAAAGCTTATGCCCAAATAAATCTGTTAGTCTTTAAGGTGTCACCGGACTCCTCTAAATTTGACTTGCTTTAATCAGAGAGAAATTTGATAAACTGAACTCTGTTACACTAAAAGGCTGTAAGTGGTAGGTTCACTTACTAAAGGAATTACGTGAAAGAGGTAGAAGATTCAGAAGCACACATTATGTTCCTGTCAGCAACTAATTGATTATATTACTGTGGGCCATGTATTCTAATATTTCTTATTAGAAGAGATCTTTTGTTCTGCAATGGAATTACCAGAGGTTGGATGTTTGTCACTTCTGGAGAGGTTCTGACAGGAGAGGTGTTTTAACTGATTTATAATTGCCATTTTTATTATTTAAAGAACATTTACAGTTGAAAATACCCAGGGATTTTACAGCATCCTTTTGAATCCTTCGGGTGTTGTAACTATATCTACTCTACATTCTTTAGCACACAGCATACAGTTGACCAGCAATCAGGTTAATGCCATCTTGCCATGTCTCCTTTGTAACAAGTTCGTTTTTGCATCCTCAATTTCATTGGTCTGGATCCACTTGTATTCAGCTCAAGGCCCTTGCTACCTGCAAAGGAGACCTCTGCTGCTGCACGTGGGGTGTGTCTACACTGCAGGTGGCAGTGAGCTGCCCAGCCAGGATAGACAGACTGGGGCTCAAGTTAGCACTCTAAAAATAGCTGTGTGGACACTGTGGCTTTGGCAAAGACTCCGGAGCCAACCGAGCTCAAGACCACCCAACCTCTAGGCTTCAGCTCAAATGGGTAGCCTGAGTCTCCGCCGGAGCGGCAAAGTCCACATAACTATTTTTAGGACACTAGTTCAAGCCTTGCTAGTGTGAGTCTGTCTACCTGCGCTGCGAGACTTACTCCCAGCAGCAGGGTGGACGGACCCTCAGTATGCTAATACATGGTACAAATAATAGCAGCAAAAAAAGGCGGGTAGGGGAGATCGGCCAATTGCCCAGCTTTCAGTTTTTGTATAGCACTATGATAGCATCATGCCCATCATAACCTGTATACTCTGCCAGGTTGCTCCAGCATTGGGTCTGAAATGCTTCACACACACACACACACACACACCCCCCAAATCTGCCACTGAGACCCCACTTCCACCCCCTTAACTGATGACCTTAAATTAAATTATTACTCAATTTCCAGTAAATGTATCAAGTATCAGAGGGGTAGCCGTGTTAGTCTGAGTTTTTTTACAGTAAATGTATGTTCACTATTAGTTAAAGACTCCAGCTCTGATTTCAGTGGGGTTGCTCCTGATTTACCCAGCGTGAGAGAAGAGATAAATACACATCACCACTATCAGACAACTTATTTTTGCTGGTTCCTTGGGTGGTGATTTAAGCCAAAGCATCATTGAACTTTGATTTTTCTGGTGATTATAACAAATATATTCCCAGATTGTGGAGATTTTGGTCAAACACCAGTTTGCTGAGAAACACATTTACAGCACTAGAACTGTTGTATTTCCAAAGCTGTCTGCTCATAATATTCAGAACACTTGAAGTGTGATGATGTTAGTCATGATTGTTTCTTTAGGCATTTGGCAAAATACATGTGTGTTACAGCTGTTTTCACATTTTAAAATGTTTACATATATACAATTTATATATGGAGATTATAAACACGAAAGGTAAAAAAGATATAGTTCTTGTTTGTTTGAAGTTTATGCCTCTCAAAACTTAACATCCTGTAGCAAAATTCTACATTTCTTACTCCTGCATGCTAATTTCTACTACAGTACGTGGTTTTCCCCTTACTTGTAAAGAACTGAGGGTTCATGCACATAGCATAATGTTTACATTGGTCACGTGCTTCAGAATACAAAATTCTGAACTCAATTTTGTTGTTATTTGGGACTGCATAAACCAAAGAAAAACCTCTTTTATTCGGGATTTGTACATGAGTTTTAGTTGTATTTCTACATATATTGGTCATCATGCAGAATAATCTTATCATATTCAATCTATTTATCCCATGTTAATTTTTGTGATTTTTGGTTATTCTTTACAGATTTAATAGAATTCTAATCAACAGCAAAACATGTTGTTTTTTCCCCCTTGGGTATGAGAGCAGGTTCTCTCTGTGATCACTGGCATCTCTGTTGTTCTTTCAAATTGTCTGAAGAGCAGATGAATGTGCAATGACTCAGTGATGCTGAGTTTCTATAAAATTTGAAGTAACAGTTCTGATGTCACCCAGGTAAACTGTAGAACTAAATGGAAGTCTCCCATAGCTGGAGGGGAAAAAAGGAACACGCATATACATTACCAAAGTTATAATACAGTTATTAACTAAATTATATTAGAGTTTTGTTGGGGAAGAAAGTCTACTTTGTTTAGGTCTCATCCTAGTCCCTAGCGGATATCTGTTTATATCAGAATGTCATCATACGATTGGGAACATTTCAGAAGGACTGCAAGCTGCATAATAGAAACCTAGGACTCGGAGAATAAAGTTTGAAAAAACAATGTCAACTTCAACTATCAAGCTTGTGTCAGAATGCTTTTACCCACTATTGTTACAACTAACACTACGGTTACCATAACTAATTTTAGAGAGAGAGCAAAATTTCCCCCTATGTTTTGCCTGCTCAGAACTTCTTTAATTTATGCCAGGGGACTGGACCGGTACTCAGGCTGCCCCATGATTGGGAAAAATAAGTGTGTCTTAACTTCCTCTGCGCCCCTCTGCCTGTGCTGTGCTGGACCAAGATCTCCTTGACCACAACTCAGCGGGTGAGATTCTGTGCTGTGCCTCTAAGGGCATGTCTACATATACCTCTGGAGCAATCGATCCAGCGGGGGTCGATTTATCACATCTAGTGAAGTCGCGATAAATTGACCACTCGACTCCGGTACTCCAGCAGAGCGAGAAGTGCAGGCGGAGTCGACTGCATAGGCGCCGACTCCGTGGGTGCTCCGGGGCTGGAGCACCCACGGAAAAAAGTTGGTGGGTGCTCAGCACCCACCGGCAGCTCCCCCTGGCCCCGCCCCACCCCCCTGCCCCAGCTCGCCTCTGCCTCCACCTCCTCTGCGAGTGCGCCACCGCTTCCTGCTTCTCCCCCCTCCCTTCCAGCGCTTGCGCCGCAAAACAGCTGATTTGCAGGGCAGGGAGGGAGGGGAGAGGAGGGGGAACGCGGCGGATGGGGTAAGAGGCGGTACCGGGGCGGGGATTTGGGGAAGGGATCCAATGGGGCAGGG